TAACGGAGTACCTCTCTTTGACATTAGGTGACCAAGTATCTGAGCTTGAGCTTCATTATCAATCCTTCCAATGAGCAATCAGAGTTGATTTCCTTTAAGATTGTTTTTTCTATGTTTGTATTATTTTTAGATAATAGTTTGAATTCAATAACTGTTTTAAAAAGTCATGCTAAATGTTAAATTAAAAATTAAAGGTTTAAGAAAAGGAATTAATGCCTTTTTTCTCTTGGAAAAAAAAATAGGTAAGAGATTACAACTGCTAATATGCTGACTCCCCACTCCCTCACAGGTTACATTGTGTTCAGTGGTCCACGGAGGGCTAATGGTATCCAAGGTCTGCGGTTCATCATCCAGTCAGAAAAGCCCCCACACTACTTAGAGAGCAGGGTTGAAGCCTTTTTAAAAACCATGGAGAAATCCATAGAAGACATGTCAGAAGAAGCTTTCCAGAAACATATCCAGGCTTTAGCAATTCGCCGCCTTGACAAACCAAAGAAACTGTCTGCTGAGTGTGCAAAATATTGGGGAGAAATAATTTCCCAGCAATATAACTTTGATAGAGGTAAGAAAAAAAACAAGCCTACCATGAGCCAGTTGGAAACAAACATAATAGTTGAGATCAACTAAAATTCCCACCTTCCATGATAAAAATAACTCCTATTATACTTTTAATATTAGTGCCAATTTAAACACTGGAATGTTGCCTATTGGTATTTGTAGAATATTTTAACACTTGGAATATTGTGTACAATTCTGGCCCTGATAACTTTAAACGCATTACAGAAATCATGCAGAAAAGGATAGCTAGAATGATTAGAGGGCTGGAGCAGCTCCCGTATAGCAACTGGGGCTGTTTAGTATGGAATGAAGGGTAAAGAGAGACATGATAGAGGTTTATGAAATCATGCATGGCATAGAGAATGTGTATAGACTGAAGTGTTAGAATGCAAGATCAACCATGTAAGCCATTAAATTCTCTGCCAGCAGTTGTGGTAATGGGAGCCAATTTGGATGATTTTAAAAGGAAATTTTAAAAGGAAAAGGACGGGTTCATGAAGGATCAGGCTATTAGGGCTATACGTTTTGATGGCTGTTTCTACCTTCTGAATCCTAGGGGGCATGACTTAAATACTAGCAGCTGGGGAGCAATAATGGAAGGAGACTATTGCTCTCCAGTCTGGGTTTATGAGCTTCCCAAATGCAAGCAGTTGGCTGCTGTAGGACACAGAATGCTGGACTAGATGGGCCCGTGCCCTGATCCAGCAGGACTCTTCTTACATTATTTATGTTATGGACTATATCCGAAAGAATGATCTCATGACTCCTTATAGCCCATTATTTTTTATTGGTACAATAGTTGATGTTTACATTTGTGAAGGAGAATGGTGCTACCATACTCATTTTCTTGTTACAAGATTAAGAAAAATATTTCTTCATGTTGACATTATAGATTTGTTAGCTGTGGTTAAGTCCTGCAAACACTGTACTGCATGTACACCAAACTTGCATACTTTGTGCATACTTAATTTATTAACTTTGTTGCCCAGATAACATTGAAGTGGCATATCTCAAAACCCTTACTAAGGATGATATAGTGCATTTTTATAAGGTAAGTTGATCCAGGTTCTGGTTAAATTATTATTAAAAGAGATTTTTGTAATACTAAGGTATTTGATAGTTTTATAAAGATTGTGATATTAAAATATTGGCTTGCAAATTGTTCTAAGTACCGCTTGTAACACAGTATATTAACAGTTTTTTCACTGCTTCTCATCATTGTATAAGGGAAACGTACAACACATAAAATACAAAATGGCTTGTAGACAGATATATACCCAGGAAACACCCAATACCAAAAAATTAATTCCACACTTGAGATGACCCAATACTTGCCATTCAGATACTTAGTTTCCTAGTTGATAGATCTTTAATAAATGCTTTAAATGCTGCTTTTTTAAAGATCTTTAGCAACCAATGAGTCTGCTAAAAGGTCAGCTATTCAGCAAAGAAATCAATATTGGATGACATAATGTGTTTGGTACATTCAGAATACATTTTCCAAAGAAAGATTTGACAGAATAATTTGATCTGAAGGTGACATGGAATTTGCCTGTTTGTTTTTGTGATTTGCAGAGGTTGCTATAGTATATATTCTGTGAAAATAAAAACAGTAGTTATTAATGTGATAATTAATTGTGGGCTAATGTTCTAAAGAGAATCAAGTTCATTTGTGTCTTCTTTTTATAGGCCATTGTTATTCAGTTGTATTACTGGACCTCTGGCTATGTAATTTATGGGGGGATTGCAGTTAACAGAATCTTGCAGTGAATTTGTTTTTGGCCTTAAAATGTTTAATGGTAGAAGGTATGCATCTACCCTCTTCGGAGTGAAAAAAGCCCAAAATTGTCTGGGCACTGCTGTTGGCTTTGGCAGAAATGCCAAATTTAAAAGAAACATATTCTAATTTGGTCCCACCAAGCTTATGCCAGTGTAAAAGATAAAACTTGATGAATTTTATGATTTCAAAT